AGCGGAATTCCATGGACTGTACTTCAAGGGCGAAGAAAGTTCTGTCGAAGTAACCTTAAACCAATTTTTTTAATATTTTTTATTGCATCATTTTAAAATGTTAGAATTTTCGACAGTAATATGAGCAGGTATAGTAAGTATTTTTTTTTCTAAATGATTATCAGTCCTCCAGCTATGGTCACAGTAGATCAGTAACGAAACTTCAGCAATATTTGCGGAACGGGTGTGACCTTGGGAGCCCGTTCCCGGGAAACACGAAGATTCAAATATTTCGTATCATTCGTATGTGATTCATATAATACTAATTGTACACAAAAATAAAAATGGGTGGCATGTACTAGTGACATTGGCCATTTTTTTCTTTCTTATAAATTATTAATATATTCAAGCAAAACATTTTTATTCAATTTTGACGTTTTAAACTGCGTTTATTAAATCCTTAACAAGTCTGACAAATAAGTTGTTATCCACAAGTGAATTGCAAAATTTTATTTCACTCTTAATATTTTTAAATCACTCACAAAAAAATAAAAAACAAGTTCAGGAACATAAACATTTTGCTTATTATTTTTAATAGTTTTCACAGAATACAATTTGTTTACAATGTTCACTAAAAGGTTGCTGCAACTAAATCAGTATTGTTTGACATATTTGTTTGGCTCTGTGAGACGTCAATTTGGGAATTGTATAAATCCCACACCAATACAATTCCAAAGTGTGTTTCGGAAACTATTTACTACAGATTATTTCGATACAAGTGCAAGAACCAACTGTGAAACACTATTTTATTTGAAATGAAAAATTTGCCAAGGTGTTCTTTTAAACAAACTTCCACAACACATCTCCCCTGTATTCCAGCCTCTTCAACAATCATTAAGTGATGTGAGTTACCGGAAACTCACCTTGAAAGAACACAACTGTTTATGGTATGTTTGTGGATACTCATTAATACGAAAATTCTTACACCACCACTTCTGCCAAGTTTGTTGTGAACTTTGCACATTCTTACGAAGTGGTACATCCTGTTTTAATTGTGTGACATTTTATAGTCTTCAATGAAGATGTGATTTTTAGCGATTTAATGATACCACCTAGACATTTTGAAGTTTATACTCTGATGGGTAATACATTTTGTGAGTTTTTCCCAATTTATGCACCGTAGTCGTTAACTGGTTTGCGGCTAAAAAACGAACCATACAAAAATACCATTCCACCACCCCTGCAAAGACTTTCCTCTTGATTACCTCGTTTCAGTTTTTATTAGTTAGAATTTTTTACACACTAAAATTTAAAAATAAATCTTGGACCGCTCAAACACGCACACATTGAAAATTAAACTATTTCGTTTAACCTGCAGTTTGTTGACCTCTTTAGCCTGGAATTTTCTAGTATTTTTTACATGTATCGTAAGTATCTATTACTTTGTTAAAATAAATTTTACGTTTGTTTTTAACCCTATAACCCAACATCCCGTATGATTCCGTAATTAATATGACATTTCTTGTTGACAAAACCAGACAAAACGTTCACCGAAAACCTTAAAATGAAAAAGAAACTATGTTCTTCAAAGTCGGAGCACCTTTAGTGACGCTAGTGACCTCTTTATGTCGTTCCGTAAGCTCCCCATGTATTTCTTATGGAATCAGCTGAGACTTTCATAGCCCTGCTATGGTAAAGTAAATCTTCTTCGCTGACAATTTTCTTAGTTCTAGTCTGGAATCTCACAGACAATTTTTTAGATTATTAAGAAGTACAGCCTAAGAAATGTTCTTCTTGTAAACATTTTAAAATATCATTTTGTGAACTCATTTTTTTATGATTTCCTATAAGTTAAAATAAAAATATTTGAGGATTGCTACAATACAGGTAAAGAATCATTGTTCACGACTAAAATTTTTTCCACTCCTATTTTAATTTGATGATTGGACAGTGGACACGGTGCGATAAATGAAATTGATAACTCTGCTTTGGTGGCTTATTCTGCTCACCTCGGTTTCTACATTACGAATCATAATAAGGATTAAGTCTAAGCCAACACAGGGTGTTTTTGAAATACATATACCAAAAACTTCGAAGTATCTAATAAGTTTAAGAGGTCTGATACTCTTCTTTCCAATTAAAAGAGAAAAAAAATAAGGTAGAGATACTCGACTCCTACCCAGAATCTTTCCTCATCACTCATGAATCAGCAGGTGTAGCTACTTAAAGTACTTTTTTCCAATTTCTACTCTTAAAATGCTCATTTTGTATGTTAAATCTCGCTATTAAAACAATAAGTAGTTTAATCGAAAGGATGAATAAAATGTTTATAGCAACACTTTATTCTCACTATCACTGACAACACGAATAAAGTAAAGAAACTAAAAATTCACACTACCACTGAAATTTTCGTTGCTATGGATGTGTAAACATATTCAACTAAAATTTGCAATGCTTGATGGTCCAGTTCCTGTAAAACAATGGTAATGAAAGCCAGGAACATCTTTTGAATTTGACCGTGACGAAAGTACAGGCAACTTAGGCAATTTACCTTCTTTAAATGTAGTAATAGTACAATTTACATCTATGTAAATGGATTATCTAAATAATATTTTTTTAACTCAAAAACATTATCAAAAACTGTTTTTTCGTTGGATAAAATACGTTTTTATTCATTTATACCATAAATAGCTATTATAAATCTTCGCAACCATGAAGTCACAAAATTCCCGGTGGCAACGATAATGACAAGTAAAATGCATCAAAGCTTTCACGCCAAATAACGACTTATTGTGAAATTTATTGGAAGAATAGTAGTGAGGTATGTTGTGGGACTCAAAGTAAACGAAGGAAATTGTAGATCAAACGACTTTGTGCAAACAATACTGCCACGAAATTCCGGTGGGACGAATGATCCGGAATCTCGCCGATAACGCGTAGGAGCGACTAGTGCCGCTGATAAAGAAACACGTCTGGCCGACCTAGGCTTATGCGGCGACCTTCACGTATTCGGGAGTGGCGCCTTCGGTCAGGAGCGGCGGTCGCTCGGGCGCCAGCACCCTCTCCGGGGGAGGGAGTGCCGGGGTTGCTCTCAAGCCGGAGACACGGAACGCCCGCGAAAGCACGAGAATAAAATAAAGCGGCTAGAAATATTTTAATAATAAAACGGGTTTATTCCCTGCCACCAGCTACACGGCTAAAATAATAATCCTACGGCTAAGTCTAAAATCATTGTCTGATTTCATCCACAACCATCAAACCGTCGGAAACAATCCAGAAAGCCTTTACGTTTTTCCAGATATCCCTGGAAAGTATTTTGTCTATTTTCGTGAATAGCAAAATTTTTTGTTAGTCCAATAAATCTTAAGTCGGCTCTTAAGGCACCTTTTTTTAAACAACGTAAATAAAAATAAAAAACTTTGAATGGGTGGATGCTGCAACGAATGTTTCAAGTAAGTTCTTCCATAACAAAATTTTGAGGTGACGTCATCACATTGATAGTGAAAAATTTGGTCCTTATAAAGAGAAAATTTGACAACAGTCTGTATATTAGTTTCGGAGAATATTTATCAAATAAATATAGATATAGACCATGGACAGACGGAAACGGGCGACCTATTTTTCATCACTTAGGGGTCGTAAGACATCGACAAAACATGAAATTATGTGCGAAATTATAACAAAACATAAACTCCCACAATCTAAATTAAACGTTTTTGCTACTGATTCAAATTTTGCTCACTTGATCACTAGAGATTACAGATTATTATTCGTTTTTTAAATTATTCGTAATTTCACAATTGTACCTCATAATAAACTCCATGAACTTTCAAGGTTTAATAAAAGCACCCACCAAAATAGTCGTTTCTTTGTTTCATATTCAAGGGATTTTACTAAAAACTTATTAGTCTCTTGTGTCCCGTACATTTTATACATTTTTTGAAACATTGAAAGGGAAGCAAAATTTTAATCTCATTATCAATTGGACTTTGATAAACACGTAATAAATAATCATTAGTCTTCATTAAAAAAAAAAAATATATATATATATATATATACGACAAAACTAGTCTCCAATCAAATTTTGATAATTTAAATCCGTAAAGCATTAGTTCGCTAATAACTGTTTAACTGATTTAGGTTCCCGAACTTTCATACATTTTATCGTAAAGATCTACGGCCTAAGTTTATCTATACAATAATACTAAATATATTTTTTGTTTTTAATGCGTGATCTATTTTGATATCAATAACTAAATAAGTTTTATTTACTTATACTGATTTATGAACGCAAAATAAATAAATGCCCATATAATACAGTATTCACTACATGCCAGTATGCTAATGGAATGAAGGTACGTGTTAAATTCCAAATTGTTGCAACACAAAAGGTATAATTAAAAAAAAATGTATTTTCAAGTCTTTTTTTCAATATTAAAAAACAATCGAATTCATTTTCTGGGCATCTTTAATCTACGCAGAAATTTCGTTGAATCACTTCCTTTTTCTAAGAGAATTTAAAGCATTCTGTTTTGAAGTTTCAAAATGAAATTGCAAAATATTGTTATAAAATTTTGATAGCGTTTTACCTACTACATAATATTCCTAGTACACATACAGTTGGCTCCAGAAAAAACGGGAACTGTCAAACTTGGTATGACAGATTATTGTCTGAATTTTCCTAGTTTAAACGTGACTATTTTGAAATAGGTTGGAACAACACTGACTGACATTGCAAAAATTTTGTGCCAAATAGTGTCAAATATTTAACAGATTAAAGTATTATTAAGTATTTAAAATTCAACTTCAAGGTCATTACTTTGAAGTTGAATTTTAATTACACACATGATACATTTATCGGAAGATAAGGTAAAACCTTTAATTCTTAGTAATATTTTTTTAAATCCGCGGAAAATAAATATCCGAGACGCTATCAGAAAATTTGATCCCGATAACTATCTTTATCGCAAAGTTTAAACAACTTGACTCAAAAAAAAATAGCCAGATATTAATAATTCCTAGCCAAGTTCTAACTAACCTGTTATTTCTATAACCCAATTTATAAAAATTAGTGAAACTATTTGAAGAAAAAACATTAAAAACTCAGGTACGTAACATAAAATGTATCACTAGGTTGTTTTGGATATACATACAATATTTCAAATTTACGGATTGAAACTTTGGCACATTTCATTATCTGTTCTTCCTTAAGTTAAATTTAAAACAATATATTAGTGGAAACAAAAGAATAACAGACAACTGAAATAGATATATTTTAATCTATTTTAGTGCTAAAAAATCAGCTGACAAGAATATAGACCTACAAGTACGATTTACACAGAAGCTGTAATATATGCAGATCTCAGCTAGTAGTTAATATTGCAGCAATCTGAACAAAGAAAGCACCCCGGACAACCAATTCAAGGTATGTTTTTCACTAGTGAATATTATTGTTGTCTCCTTTTGTAGTTTAATTTGCATTTTTTTATTTTATCAAGAAATATGCACTCTTAGAACGGTACAATTATTTGTATCGTTTAATTTATGCTCCACATGAAAAATAGTGTATTTTGACAACAGAAAAAAGATCATTTTCTAGAATTAAAAATATGCGATGTTTCTTCGAATCTGTAATATCCAAGTGAGTTTGAGCATTTCATTATTTACTATGACTATACTATTTTGTTTATACTTTTTTTCTATTTTCGTTATGAATGTGAATTTCATATTTTACAATTGACTTACTTTCAGGTTTACCTATCACACTCTGAAGAGTTGTCACCATGGAAGCACCAAATGGAACATTAGCAGACAATTTATGCGACCAATTGACAACCGATGAACAGTCGCCCATTTCCCAGTCCAAGGAGAGTGAAATTTTTATCGAAAAGGTATTAATTTTTTAATTTGTAAAACCCTCTCATTCAGCACTATCTCTCAAGTTCAATCTTTATCTTATCATCTACACCACAAAGTAGACCACATTTTTTCTGAAATTGGTATTGCATAAGTAATGGTGAATTAACGAACTGAAAGTTTATTAAGTTATAATTATTCAATTACTTTTCAGATTTTTCGAAAAAGACACGGCACCACGGATAAGGGCAAAAAGTATGAAAATATGATTACCGCGAACATTATACTTCGTCTGATAAGCTCCGATAAAGTAAACAACTCCTATGTTTCGTCAAATCATCCAGATTTTGGTGATTTTGATGATTTAGTTGTCGAAACTGAAGCCCATGAAAGAGTCGAGACAACAGCAGTGCAGTTAAAACACAGCGGTCGAGACCATTTAAAGCTCACACAACTAGCAAGCGAAAAGGGAGATTTCAGCCTATTTAAATATTTTCATTCGTCCCAAAATATAAAAAAGAAACCACAACAATTTATCTTACTCACGAATCTGAAATTTGAAGCTCCCAACAAGACAAAATTTCAACTCGACAAAAGTGGTCTTTTCTTAGAACTTTCTGAAGAAATAATTTCAGAAGATTTTTTGAAAATTTCCCAAGATACAAGTTATTGCTACAAATTTCAAATTCTAGAAGACGGAAATACTAAAATAAAATTTTCAAAATTGCAGGAGTTCAAAAGTTTCCTTGAGCAGTTTCGTCTATACCCTAATCAAGAAAGTCTGGAAACACTTAAAAAGTCAACAATGAATAGATTCGTGGAGATGTTTGGTTCTAATGAGGAAACCTTCGAAAAGTACCTTAATATTATATCCGAGTGGGATATGCACGAAGGAGCAAAAAACAAATTAGACCGAAACATAATGCAACGTGCAATTGCACTTTGCCTGTTGTCTCCTTACGTCGAAAATTTCACTTCTGGTGCAGTCAGTCCTAAAGGTAAAACTCTTAGGGAAGCAATTTGTCTCTTCGATTTTACGCTTTTGAGAAACAATGAGTGTGATGCAGTTAAACAGTTGTGGGGAGACGTTGACGAGGATATTGACATCAATGAAGTGAACAAAGTGAGATCATTTTATCGCCTTTCTTCTAATTATCTATCCAGAATAGAAGAAGCAGATGGAAATGTGTTGACACAGTTGTTGTGGTTAATGGACAAGCGTCCGTTAATCCTAAAAGAACAGGAAAATATCGAAAAAGCTATTGAGCTTTGTCCAGATGCGAAATTTGTTGTGCTAGGTGAAGGAAAATCGAGAGAATGGATGAATCATCGCTCCGTCTTTCAGAATTTATTAGACCTGAAATCAAAACATAAACTGTATAAAACAGTGATGGAAACTTTCACTGTTTCCTTGCAAGGGAAACCAGTGCTTACTCTGAAGGACGCATCTGGAGGAAATGAAGAATTTTTAAAGAAGATTACTATAAATGATCTTTTAGAAATGGTAGATAGTCCACGCTTGATAGACGAAGGAAAAGTGGCTCTTCCCGATCCTTATATCGAAAGGTATTTGTCGTTAAATGTTATAGATATCAAATATTTAGAACATGTTAATTGTAATACAGTCGTTATCCTAAGTTGTGCAGATAGTTCGAATGCAATACAAAATCTACAAAAAATTAGACTTACAACGATCAACGATTATTTAAATGATAACCCGGAGTATGGAGCTTCGAACACTCCAGTTTTCATTTTCAGTAAAAATAAATGCAGCGAATCTGAATTTGAGCGAGTGTGCTCTAATACATCAAAATCGTTAAGTGTTCATTATTTTAAATTTCTTAATAACGTCAGTTTAGAGTGGTTGCGAAGCAGAGGAGATGTCGGAATATTGCAAAATTATAGATTACACAATCAGTCGAAAAGTGAAAGTAAATTTTGGTCTGACGAATTCAAGGGAAGCATTAATTTAGTAATAGGTGATCCCGGGATGGGTAAAACTGAATTAACAAAAAGCTTCAAAAATAACTGTTCTTCTAAATACTGGACAGTAATGCTTAGCCCTCAAGAAATTAATTTATTCTTTAAGCAATCAGGGAGGTGTCAAAGATCAGATTATCTAAATTTATTTCATACGTTCATCTTAGAGGAAAAGTATCATCACCTAAAACACTTAGATAAAGAATTTTTTAAAAATTGCTCTGAGCAACTGCGTGTTTTCTACGTGTGGGATGCAATTGATGACATTTTAACCAAATACTTAAACGCCGTTTCGGATTTGATAGTTCTGTTATCAAATAAAGGATTCACACAATGGGTTACCGTTAGAAAACACTTAAAATCTTGTCTTGAAAAACAATTAAATACGCTTTCTTTGGGCATAAATCATTTTAACGAGAACGAGCAGGAAGATTACATTAGAAAGCGCCTTCGTTCTATAATTTCAGCTGATAATATAGAATCATCGATTCAGAAAGTGAAATCTAGTTTTGCTTTTATAAAACATGTAGATATTTTGGGAATTCCATTGCAAATATTTATGCTCACAGAAATAGTTCTTCAAAATAATAAAAAATATTTAACTTTAATTGGGAGCTCCCGGCTTTTAACTGATCTATATCATTATTTCATTCAAGAAAAGTTCAACATTTTTTATGAAAGCAAAAGGTCCCTTAATATTCGAGATTCTTCTTCCAAGCTTCTGTTGAAGAAAGATAAAAAGAAAACCTTAATTCATTATGAGAAACTTGCAGTTAAACTAGTGTTTTCGGACTGCTCAGATGTTAATATTCACGAGTGTATAAATACAAGTACTTACGATTACGAGTCCATCGGTATTATCACTGATTCACAAAATAACACGCCGGTTTTTTTACATGCTTCTTTTGCGGAATATTTAGCTGCCGTGTATTTTTTGAAAAATGTTAAACTTATACCTGGGGAGAAATTTTTCAATCGAAAGTACAACAGCGTAAGATTTTTCTTTGATATGTTGTTGGCAAAAAAGTCACCACTTCACACTGCAATCTTGTACAGAAACTTTGACGAACTAATGAACTATGACGACGAAATATTAACCCGGAAAGATGAAGGTGGAAGGAATGCTTTACATCTGATTTGTTCGTGGGGACAAAGACATCGGCGGCTAAGAGTAACGAGTTATAAAATAAATAGATTTTTATCATATCTTACTTCTGTTTTGCTAAAAAACAAATCCGTTTTGAAAAGAATACCCCGTGTGAGATACACCCTCCAAAACGACGAATCTTCTGAAGGAGAACTAGAAACTAGAGAATATTTAGATGGGGTGCTATATTTATTGAATAAATGTAGCATTTCCGAACCGGATGCCATATTTGAATTGACGCCGCTGTCATACGCTCGGGTCAGCGAAAGTTTAGGGGCGGAATTGGAATTGCTACAGTCAGGAATGTTAGATCTACAACCAGAGCAGTTGTATGATCATTGTGATAGAATCAATATTTTATATTATACAAGTTTGTTTGGTTATGACAAAGGAATTAGAATGATTGCTACGAAAGAATTAAGTACTTATTACGAAGAAGTAAATTTCATTTGCAAATTCTCCGAAATCACGCCTCTTGCGATAGCGTCCTCAAATGGACATTTAGCCGTTGTTGAATATTTATTGGAACTAGGGGCCGGAATTGATGATATTGATAAAAATGGTCGGACGCCACTTTACACAGCTTCTGAAAACGGCCACGAAAAAATTGTTGAATGCTTAGTGGAATGCGGAGTCGAAATTGATCTCGCTAATAAAAACGGTGAGACCCCACTTTATGTAGCTGCCGAAAAAGGCCACGAAAAAACTGTCAAATTCCTAGTACAATATGGAGCAGAAATCAATCGCGCTTCTAAATATGGTGACACACCCCTTCATGCAGCTTCCTCGAAAGGCCACGAAAAAATTGTTGAATACTTAATGCAATTTGGAGCCGAAATCAATCGCGCAGATGATGTTGGTTGGACACCGCTGCGCGCAGCTTATTGGAACGGCCACAAAAACATTGTTCAATGCCTAATGACAAGAGGAGCTGAAATCAATTGCGCTGATAAACGTGGCGAAACACTCCTTTACGTAGCTTCCTCGAAAGGCCACAACGAAATTGTCGAATGTTTAGTGAAATGCAGAGCCGAAGTCAATGGCACTGATAACTATGTCCGGACGCCTCTTTACGCAGCTGCCAAAAACGGCCACGAAAATGTTGTCGAATGCTTATTGGAGTGCGAAGCCGAGATTAATCTTGCTGACTACAAGGATCGAACACCCCTTCACGCAGCTTCCTGGAACGGCCACGAAAAAATTGTGGAATGCTTGGCGAAATTCGGGGCCGAAATTGATAGTCCTGATTATAACGGTCAGACACCGCTTTACGCGGCTTCCTCCAACGGTCACAAATATATTGTCGAAATACTATTGAAACTTGGAGCCCAAATCAACCACGCTGATTATAAGAATCGAACACCACTCTACGTAGCTTCGTTGAACGGCCACCAAAAAGTTGTCGAATGTTTAGTTAAATGTGGAGCCGAAATCAAGTGCGCTAATAAGCCCGATCGGACTGCGCTTCACGCAGCTGCCAAAAGCGGCCACGAAAAAATTGTCGAATATCTTGTGCACTCCGGAGCCGAACTCGATATCGGTGATCATCTTGGCTGGACATCGCTGCACTTAGCTTCCAAAAATGGCCACGAAAAAGTTGTTGAATGCTTAGTGAAATTCGGAGCCGAAATAAATCGCCTTGGCTTTAATGGTTGGACACCGCTTTACGCAGCTGCGTTAAACGGCCACGAAACAATTGTCGAATATCTAATGAGTCACAAGGCCGACATTAATCGCGCTAATAAGAGTGGTCAGACGCCGCTTTACGCAGCTTCGTCGAGCGGTCACTTAACAATTGTCGAATACCTAGTGATAAACGGAGCGGAAATCAGTTGTGGAAACGACTTTCTTTCGACACCGCTTTACGCAGCTTCCTCGAAAGGCCACGAAAAGATTGCCGAATACCTAATGAAATGCGAAGCCAAACTTATTTAGTGCCAAAGTAAGGAAAAAATAGTGAACGGTTCGGTGAAACTTTTAATTTTAGGTGATTTTAACGTTTCTGATTTGTCTCGGTCAAATATATTGCATACTTTTTTAATTTTCTTCAAATTGCAACAAGCTAACACTATAACTAACATTTCTAGTTAGTTGATGTATATATTGAATATCGCGTTCAGTGTTTGCAGTTTCAAATAAAAGAAGGCTTTAATTTCAAAAAAGGGAACTTTATAAGTTTGTGTGGTGAATTATTGACGACTGATTGGAATTTTATTGAAGATTTCTCTGATCCTTGTTCGGCTTTAAATGCTTTAGAACTATTTGCCGGAAATATATGTTTCCAATACTTCAGGTCTTTGATTTAATTTGTAATTAGTAATCTAAAGTTTGATATCTATACTATAATTATAACCGCAGATCTCAATCTTATTCAAATATCTTTTGATAAACCGCTATTTAGTTATACTGGATATTGTAAATAAAATTATTAAATAAAATAACATTGGGCAAACCATCAATTTCATTCATCTATTATTGCCATCTCTTCCCTGATTGTAAAAATGAAATCTACATGTGAAACACGAGGATATTTTATATTTCAAAATCAACAGATGACAACACTTGCGGTGTTAAACTTTCTCTAAAGTTTTTGAAGTTATTATTAACTAATCAATTTTTATTCTACTATAACTACCAGATACATTACAATCTATAAAGAAGATGATGAAAATCCTGTGTTTAAAGTGTTTTAACGTTGATCTTTAGTGCAGCAGAAGCTTAAAAAATTTCGATAATAAGTTGTCAGAACTTAATGAGAGAAAAGTCGCCGACAGAATTGCTAGTTACGAAGAATGTATCCACCAACATGAATAAAAAACGGGCCTAGACAACTTAAATTGCTAAACACAAACGCTAAAGAGACTTGATATTGTGGAGGAAAAAGACAATATATTACCATAACATATTTTTCACTGCAGTCAAGCAAGAGAACTAGGATATATCTAGTTTAGAATAAAAGCCAAATTCAAATTTGTAAATTTTATTTTTTTAAGCTAACCCCAATGTTTATGTACTCTATGAGTCATGAACTATTTAGAAAATATGAAAGTATCGAGTCCCCCCATATACCCTATTACAACACGTCCAATACTATTTACGTAAAAGTAGATAAATTTAATTTATTTTTCTTATGTATGGTGATCTACACTTCTGAGGTGAATACTAGAAATGCTACTGAAAAATGTACACAACAATGAAAATAAAAAACATATATTTACAGGTCGCGCTTATTGTTGGTGTTTAAGGAACTTGCCGATGCGACGAATTATCAAAGATGTTACTGGATGACATTGAACATCAAGATAACGTTCTAATAGTACACATTCCTGATTCTAAAACAAAAAACCTTGTCGCTTTGTAATAATTGTTGATGAAGGAAATCTTGCTTTGTACAGGCGTTATGTGGCATTACGCCCGGTTCGTCTTCCACACCGGCGGCTATTTGTAAATTAAAATCAAGGGAAATGTGCTGTCCAACCAGTGGGGCTACATTCATTTGAAAAATTCCCTTCTAAAGTTGCAACGTATCTTGAGTTACCTACACCTCTGGAATACACGGGGCATTGTATGCACCGAAGTTCAGCGACTTTATTACTAGACGCTGGGGGCGATGTTACCAATTTAGAAAGACATGGAGGATGGCAAAGTACAACGGTGGCCGAGGGCTATATTAAGGAGTCGATCCAAAATAAGCTAGATATAGCAAGAAAAATACAATCTAGTGCAATAATCCCTCTACAGGACTTTTACTGAAAATTTGAAGCTCGCTTATAAATCACTATCGGAAAACAATATTTCAAACATAAGAAGTTCCTCAATTCATATTAATATTTCTAATTAATAGTTTTGATTAAATTGTTCTTTTTTAAAATGTCTTTTTTATTTTGCGTCTTGTAAAGTCTTTACAGTCCTAGTCAAGAAAATTCAATTTTCCTGAGCGTAAATACGCAGTGAAATGTTCTTTGTATGACGATTTCCGGAAAAATATATTTAAATCAAGCTTATTTAAATACTGTCGTGTTGTGTGATTAATACGTAGACTGCATTGCTTTGTAAAAACATCTTGATGTCCGTGAAGTGAATTAGTAAACCAAATTGAATTGACATTCTTACACAGTTTGCAATTTATTAAAGAAACCGGTCCATACTCGTCTGAGTTTTAATTATTTTAGTTAGGTGCCAGGAAAAATGTTGGCCGTGAAACTGAATAAAGGTGCATTTGAAAAACAACGTGTGCTAATACATTTTTAACTTTTCTATATAAATCGGGTAAGTTGTTAATATCAGTCTGGGAGAGAGGCATTAACTTAAAGTTATAATTTTTGTTAGGCACTTCGTTACTAACATGTTACTGGTTCAGCCAACATTAGAACAAAAAGCTTTCATTGGAAATGCCCTAGGCGAAAATTCGCACAATATCCAAAACGAGATCGAAATTCTGAAAAAATGGTTAAAGGAACAACCGCATCTTCCCGATACCTGGGGTACAATAACCATTAACACAGACGTACATATTACCTAACTTTTTGCAGATGAACACTGTTTATTCATTTTTCTCATGGGATGTAAATTCTCATTGGAAACGTGTAAGAAAAAATTGGAAAAGTACTTCACTTTTAGAACTACGTTGCCAGAATTTTTTGCTAATAGGGACGTCAGAAGACCAGAATTAAAAGAACTTATCAAAGTAGTGTAAGTCTATTTTTGACTCTATTGTGGTGATACTTGTTATTCTAAACGTCACTAGAATTCAAAGTATTTAACTTTTTGCAGACAAGGAGCCGTCTTGCCAGATTTAACTTCTGATGGCAAACGAATTTCAATAGGAAGGACTGCAAAATATGATTTCGAAACTCCAAACATAGCTGACATTGTAAAACTCGTTTTCATGGCTGGTGACCTCAGAATAAAGTTAGAGGAAATTGTGGTTTTCGATGTCTACGTTGTTGATTTGAATTTTCCTTTGGCGAAGCATTTTTTCAAAGTAAATCCGTTGGTTTTGAAAAACATGTTTATGTGTGTCCAAGAAGCATTTCCTGTAATAATCAAAGAAGTCCACCTAATTAACGCTCCGTTTTTTAGTAAATTTGTTATAAACGTAATAAAGGCATTTTTGTCACCTGCTCTAAGTGAAGTTATTCATGTTCATACTTCCATAGAAACGTTGTATGAATTTGTTCCAAAGAATATATTACCGGAGGAATATGGCGGAAATGCCGGAAAACTTTCAGATTTGTACGACCAGTGGATTAGAACTTTCGAGGAACATCGTTCTTGGTTCGAAAAAGAGGAAAACATTAAGGCCGATTTGTCAATAAAAGCAGTAAAAAGGGTATAAGTGGGGACCATATTCAGCTAGACGACAGTTTGAGAAATTTATGTGTAGATTAAATGAAAAATTGTTATTTTACTTGTATTAATTTCGTAAGGTAAATTCTAATGATTTGTATGCATGATAATGAAAAATATAGTGAAAAAAAAGTTTGTTCCTCAATTTCTCACTACATTTTCTATCATTGCTTTTCACATTATGAAAAAGCCGAAGCCCACATTAGTAATTAATATGAGCAGATCAAACTCTGAACATTGAAGATATTAATTATGCGGGTGCACCATATTCCACCCTCGTACTTCATCGACCGATTAAATGTACTTCACTGGTAAATATGAAACCGCTTCGCCAGATCCACAAACCACTCAGACCCTTCTTGTCGTACGTTTCTACTTTATTATCCACACGCTCAATTCAGCCACCGGGCATTCCTCCATCGCCATCCTTAAGGTATGTTTCCCTAACGCCGGATACCTTGTTCTATACGAATGGTTAGATTAATCCCACTTCCCCCGAGATTGAAAAAATAATTATAAAACCTTACTTTATTGCAAAGAACATTCAATTTAAAAATGTAACTATATTGAACAATAATTTTATCAATAATACTGTTACGTTGTTCGGTGAATAAAATCTGCGCGAGTAAAAGTCATCAGTAGGCTTCGGATTTTAGGTCGTTAAAAAATGAATAAAAGGAAACATTTTTAGATTCCAAAATTCACGAATTAAGTTATATAAATCTTAGTTTAGGTTAAAAACCTGAAGGAAAAAATATTTGCTCAACGAAAAACCATACGTCAAAAAAATATATTATAGAAACAAATATTTTGTGCAACAAAGAAAAAAAATATTAAATAAACAAACGATTTATAGTTACGTCCACTAATTCTAAGTTATCGCAAAAAAATGGCGATCAAATTAAAGCAAGTCACATTTAATAAAAAATAAAATAATAATTCAGGTTCCACAGGTTCTAACGTTACATGGCAGAATCCCATTGTTATGGAGATAAATACGTGATTATAATATAAACCCGACGACAGGGGTGCATCTTTGGGCTGAAGTACAAAGACTTTATATCTATTTGCCATGTCCTTACAGATGAACAGGAATTAATTATTTTGTTATGTTGAAGAAAATCCTATTACCCCTTTACCTTTAGTAGCAAGAGAGTTTGAGGTTTCAAAAACATCTGTATGCAGAAAAAAATTAAATTTAAAGGATGCAAGTTTGCAAACGATCAGCAGTTTTATGCAGAAGATAAAATTAGAGGAACCGATTTTTGTGAAATTTTATTTAATCTATTAAATGAAAATGAGGGCATGTAAAGAAAATAGTTTTTACTGATGAGTTGTCTTTGAATGGCACAGTAAATTCACACCGCTTAGTTGGATCTTATGTTTTGCCAAACTGACTAAACGCGGCACCGTACCGCGATCGCATATGATGGTACTTGTAAAATCTTTTTGTTACGAGTACATTTCACTTTCCAATCAATTCTCTTGAAATCTTGATTTTAAATTGGGTAAAGCTTTGTTTAGAAAACAGATTTCCCAGAAACTAAGTTAACAAACAACAACTGAATGTACCTATACCTAGTAACCACCAGTAGGAATGAGAATATCGATTAAAAAAAATTAAATGTAATTATTTTACTATGACCACAGCACTGTAAACTTTACATTTATTTAATTATTGTGCTATACACAACAACAACTCAAACAGAAATCAGTTCTCCATCTAAACAACGGAACAAAATACTTTCTCTACTTTAATGCTAGCGATTGCTAAGAACTATGGATTTGGAAATACTGGATTTTATTTTCAGCTGTGGTAACATTTTGTGCCTCACACCTCCAGTAACAAACCCAAATGGAAACGAAAATCGTTTTCATAAAGTGTCTGGTTACATTATGTATCTTATCATGACTATGTTTTTTGTTTGCAATGTTTATTCAAGCAACCTGATGTTTACAACACTAACACCAATACAATGTGCTTTGTTTCTATTTTTAATTTTTATCTATTACGCTCATGATTTTTATATGTTTATTATCTTAAAGTCCTATAAAAATTTCCACTGGAATACTTTGCTCAGCAACATAAAGAAGTCCACATATGGAAGTAGAAGAAATACGGCAAAACCATGCTACTGGCTGTTTGTTACAGGACAAGGTTTGGCAATTATTTTCGGATTTTGTGCAAGTTTCATCACCCTGAAAAATTTTGGTGTTACCGTGGGAATTTTTACTATATTTTTGTGTTTAGAAACGTATCTTCAAATTTTCTATACATCAGTTTGGTGCATACTTTTACAAATAATAAAGGCACGGTATCAATACCAGAATGATATTATGAAGCATAAAATGAATCAGAACATATCAGTAGAAGAATTTTCAACTTTTCTAAAAAAAATGAAGTATAATTCTTTAACTCTAAAAACTGTGGTTACCGCTTTTAACTATTTATTTGGATGGAGTATACTTTTGAGTACTATTTCTGGTTTTGCAAGAGCATTAAGTACGCTAGACATATTTGTAAGATATAATGCCTCCTTTTATCTGCAGAATACTGTAGAAAATGTAATAAATATTCTGTTTCGGAGCTTCATAGTGGCGTTATATTGGGTGAGAATAATAAAACATTTTTATTTTTACTTTCATGTCGCATCTATACACCTACTAAATATTTTAGATTGGTATTATCACTACTGACGTCTTATGCGATTTAGTTCTGAAAGAATACGAAAAACTATTAATTTTACTATATGATCTGGAATGTCGAAATAATGCATTACCAACCAGGGAATTACGAACATTCATTTGTGTGATGGCTAAGAACAAACCCGAGTTTAGAGCTGCGAGATTTTTTGCACTCGACAGAAATAACATACTTCAAATTTTTTACTCAGTGATAAATATGCTGATTTTTATTATACAGTTTAAATAAAACTTTTTTATAGTCACGTAAACCAGATTTGTTGTACGTCGTCCTTTTTAACACTGCACAGCTGGGAAAGATAGACAACTTTGTTTGTTTAGTCGAGGAGACAGACACACTGCAGAAGCTTAAACTTGCTGATTTTAATGAAGATTACATCTTTTGACATTGTTAATTCTTTTAGTTTTAACGTCAACCTCTAGTCTAAAGCAATGTTCAAGTGAAAGATTTTTAAATACTGCGAAGATCATTTGGTTTTCTATTTTGCAAATAAGTCCGTACTAACTTCAAGGCTTTGTGATGTAAACCGAAATTGTTGAGCTCTCCTAATGGAACACTGTTGAATTGTGTCGAAAGCCGGAAATCGTATTGATACGTCGAAATAAAACTTTTCACATTATAAATAACCCGATAGGGACATGACTTAAAAACGTTGGTGAAGTTAGGCAAAATGGATACAGCCCTGTAATTCGATATACACGACTTGTCCTCGTTTTTACATATGTTTAGGAGAAATACGAGAAATACTAGTTCTGATAGCTAAATTAAATAGAACTGACAATAGCCTAGAAAGTAAAAATTTACAGTGCCGTACCAAAAAAGAAAAGAATTGTGAATTCGTGTGTAAGTAATGATTAATGAATATTTCCTTGCGAAGGCATTGTTCAATTCAATCATTATAAGAGGCATAAGGTACAGAGATATCGGTTTTTCAAAGATTCCACAACAAGTTTCCAAACTATCAGCAGCTTTATGCTGAAGATAAAATTAGACGAACAATTTCATGTCAAACTTTATTTTATTTTTTAAATGCGAATAGAAAGAAAATAGTTTTTACTGATGACTGATGACGACATTACAACCTAAAAATATTCAATATAAGAACGATAGTAAAAAAACATTATATATTTACTGACTTGTTTTTAAAACATCAAAGTGTTCTGCATAAAACAATGCTGCTTGAATCCAAGTGCCCCACCTGGTTAATACAGGTTCAGGTGGGAGAGGTGTATTTGGTAAACTGTTTTTATAAAACTCTACTCTTGTTAGTGATTTTAAAAAGATCTTCTTAACATTGCTAATTATCCCATTGACATCTGGATAATTCACTCTAATTGTTTCAGACACTAAATGTAACCCATGTACCATACATGTTAAGTGTGTTATATTTTCATAAAACACCTTCAAATTAGTACCAGTTTTGATCATTTATGAAGCACCATCTGATACAAACAACTTAACTTTTTTGTGTTCAGTTCCTTTTGGCCACAATAAAGCTACAAATTAACAAGTAAATAAATTGTAATAATTTCAATGCATAAAATTATCAATAGCACACCCAATGATTCGTTTATAAATCTCGAGATTGTGTTGCTATTAGTTTTATCAAGCTGCTTCAAACCTAGTAGAAATGGACGGCCAGCTTCTACAGAAGATAACTTTCCCATTACTAAATGGGCTATGCATCTTCCTAATCTGTCCGTCGTCTCATCGTCGGTAATCCATATATCATTATTGCCAATAGAATTTCTAATTTGTTTAATTACCTGTAAATTATAAAATTTATGTTAAAAAGTTTTTAAATAAAAATTCTAGTGCTCACCATATCGTAATCTTTTGGTAAATAATTTTTTCTCAGAGTGCTTTCTGAGGGTAAATGCTCTACATAAATCGGTCCAAAATTGCGTAAAATCATTGTCGCAACTAATGTTTAATAACGTCTGTTTACTGGATTTATTTTAGTTCTTTTTATGTGCATCGCCAATGCAGTGTCGTTCAAAGTGTGATTTTTTTTTCACACTTAAACTAGGAAACAAAAATGTGAACATAATTCAAGCTTCAGTATTTTAAATATTTACTACTTTTCCACACAGTTTGCAGAATAACTCATTGTCTTTGGTTGAAGAAGGAAATTGAAAATTAGTGTCCAAATTATTCCCTAACCATAATTTGATTTTATCTTTCATGGATGATTTTACCTTAGGCATTATGAGGACTCTTTACTGTATGCACAAAAATCAAAACCGGCCCCAGCACACTCACTAACACGCAAAGATACTCAGTATCACTAACAATAAACTTCTAAAATAAAATGCTTTTTCAGAGATTCACCTCCTTTCGGCTATAATCTAAATGAAATGCAGGCCAGCGTTGTCACTTGGCGACACTAACCCGTACCATTAAACTCAAGGGTGTTGTTTACAACCCATTTTT